GTTCACACTTGAACGATAGACCCTTTCAAAAAGGCCGGATCGTTCTCAAGCGGGCGTGTAAGGTTGAACGCCGCTTGTGCCCCAGAATCGGCCCATCCTTGGACGATCCGGCCTTTTTGAAAGGGCCTATCGTTATGTTGTTCCCATCCAGACCACATCCCAGAAATAATTTCGACCACCCAGAGAAATGTCAAAAGAGTGTCGAAACAGTGTCCGGCGAGTGTTTCCTGGGAGAAACCCTTGAGTTTCGGTACTTTTTTGGGCGCTCGAAATTCTTCCTGGTGATCAAGGCTAAAGTAGGTTGGAGCACCATAAGCCTATCCTGCAACTTTGAACGACCCCTCCGGTGTCCGGAACTAACGCTGGGGTCGCCACGACGCAAACCTGCCGTCCCCGGGAGGCCTCCCGAGGCCGCCAGACGACCGCACAGGGCAGACGGCCAAGCCCAGGCACCTCGATCTCGCCGATCCTCCATGGAGGCACCTCCCGACCCTCGCCCGCGGGGGTCCTCGACCACGGCGCGCGGGGGACCGGCGCGCTGCCGACTCTCGGCCGCCACTCGTTACCAGCCTGGAACATATCCCTATCCCTATGCTGGGCACCTCCTCCTCACGATGCCAATCTTAGGGAATCCCTCAGTTTTTGAGGGCGAATCCCTAAGATTGTCATCGCCTTTTGGCGTGTCAATCTTAGGGATATGGATACGTTCGAGGCTGGTAATTCCGCCCCCCCCCCACTTCGTCAGCTTCAGGCACAGCACCACGTCGTACTGTGTCCCGCGCCGGTCCTGGCGCGGTCTCGCCGGCGGCCGCCGAGGTGGGCACGGGCCGTCGGCAGCACGCGGGAGCACCAGAGTCTGGCTGCTGAAGCAGGGAGCGCTCAATGAGAAACGAATTCCCTCTTTCGCACCAGAAGACCCTGGGTGCACGAGGAGGGACCGAGGAACTGCCAAGGAAGGATCTAGAGAGCATCGGACCCCTTCATAACACAAACTGTTCCATACTTCAGCAGCCCAACTACACTCAACGATCAAACGCTGCCTCAACTCTGCCGCTGCTACCTTCTCGAACAAGGGCTAGCCCTTCGCGCGACCCCTCCTGCCACACTACATGTGCAGTCGGGAATGAATGCCGAGGACCCAGACCCCCGACTTCATGTTTTTCTCATGACGTCGACCACCAGGGGTCTCGACCCACTCCCCGGGAACAGCTTTTCATCCCGAGTCGATTTTTGATGGCCCCGCGGCCCGGTCAAGGCCCCCGAAAGACAAAAACAGAGACAAAAACCTCGCGACGAATTTTCTAAGCGCGACGGGGTTTGGGTCCATCCCCACCTCGAGGGGGCTCAGCCAGTGGCGCCGAAAACCAGAAATCCTGGTCGTCCTCCTCGTTGGCCTCCTCCTCCTCGTCCTCCTCCTCCCTCCTCCTCCTCGCACTCCTTTTGGTCGTCCTCGTCCTCGTCCTCGTCCTCGTCCTCGTCCTCCTCTTCCTCCCTCTCCTCTTCCCGATTCCTGATTCCCGATGCCGTTTGAAGTCTCCGATTGCCCCCCCCCCCTCCCCAAAAGCGGACGATCCTGGGGGGCTGATCAAACGAAAGCCACGTGGCCCTTGGAGCGCCGCTCCAAAGGCCACCGGCTGACGTGCTTTAGCGTGTAGGTGTCGACGTGCAAGACGCCAAAGGACGACCGCGAGGCACGAGGGGAGGGGGGAAAGGGAGGGGGAGGAGAGGGAGGGGGCAGGGGAGGAGAGGGAGGGGGAAGGGGGAAGGAGGAAAATGGTGATGACGAGGAGGGGGAGGAGGGGGAGGAGAGGGAGGGGAGGAGGGGGAGGGGGAGGGAGGAAAATGGTGATGACGAGGAGGGGGGGCGAGGAGGCAGGGGTTATGGTTGGCGCACGGTGGTTGCAGCTGAAGCGCGCGGGGAGGTGGCAAGGTGGCGGGGGCCGCGCTGCCAGCCCATGGCCCAGGGGAAGGCGCAAGGGCCTCTCCTTAGGAGGGAAAGAAACACATAGACACAATTAATCGTCGATTTCCCTGAAAATATAAGAAAATATGGGAAGTGGGAGGGGAGACAAAAACCCAGAAAATATAAAACAAAATATGGGGAATCCTTGTATTTGTGTGTATTTATTTGTGTGTCCCAGTTCCCCTTCATCTCCATCTGCTGATCGGAAGCCACCACAGTCCTGCAGGCAAGCGTAGGCTTCCAGGGTCGCATGCCTCGGGGCCGCCTGAGGGGGGGTTCACCCCGCGCGATGGAGGTTCACGCCTTCTTGCCGGTGGCAGATCTCACCCAAGAGCGGACCACACTCACCGAGGCTGGACAAAACTGTGGGGGCGTGGTGGTTCAAGGGGGTGGGATGGCGCGGCTGGCTGCGGTGGCTGCGGCAGTGGCGCGCAGTGGTTGCGGCGGTGGGCGGTGGCCGGTCTACCCACCCGAGCCAGTGACATGTGGCCGCTATCACCCTGAAGGCGGGCCATGCTCGCGTCGGCGACACGGCTCTGTGGGAGCGGGAAGGTCAATCAAGAAAATTCGAGGAGGTGGGCATGTTGCTGGCGCGCGGCTGCGGCCGCGTCACGCGGTGGAGGTTTGCGTCTTCCTGCCGGTGGCGTGTGGCCGTCTATCGCTGAGAGCGGCGGCGGCCGTACTCGCCAAAGGTGGATGGCAGAAAGGCCTCGCCCCCTGCATAAGACCCCCCCGACACGGCCACCATCCCCATGATTGCTACCCTCTCCTGCCGACGCAAGTCGGGGATCTTCTGACCAATCCAGACCCGTGTCAATCAAGCCTTGCAAGTTCCTGCAAGATCATGCAAGATACTGCACCCAAACCCAGGTCAATGCACAAGATCCAGCACGATCCTGCAGGATCCTGTACCCAAACCCGGGTCAGTGCGACCCTGGCCCTGCAGGATCCTGCAAAATCTGGCGCTCTGGCTGACCCCCGTTTGCATTGACCCCCGTCTCTTGAGCCCCGAGCAGGAGTGGGTGCCCAGCTCACGGGAGTGGTGGCCGCCTGGGGGGGTGTCCACCGTGCTTGGGGGGGGGTTCTGCCACCCGCGGCGGCGGCACGCTGTTTGTGCTGCGCCCCCGTCCCCTCGCGATCTATCCTCAGCCCCGTCCCCTGACAGTTGGCAGGCGGTTGAGGCAAGAGGTGGCACAGTTGAGGGGAAAAACTAGTGCATCAAGTGTGGTGACGGAAAGCGTGGCCAGCAAGCATAGGTCAATGGTGGGTTTGCGGCAGTTTGACCGTAGCCTCCTGGTCAACGCTGAGGAACCGATTGTCGTTGGTTCCTTGCTCCTCCGCTCCCCTCCTCTCTCCTCCTCTCCCCTCCTCTCCCCTCCTCTCTCCTCCTCTCTCCTCCTCCTCCTCCTCCTCCTCCTCCTCCTCCTCCTCCTCTGCGAACGCAGGTGCTGTTCTGAACTGAGTCGGCGGCGAGGGAGGGGGGGAATTGAGAAGGGAAAGGCCTTCTCAGAAGGCGGCGGGACTTCCCACCCGCGCCTCCTGAGGAGCTTTCGGTGTCCTGTCTCCGGGGAAGCTTCGCATAACTGCTCAGGAGGCCGGGGGGCTTCCGAGCCGTCTGAGGAGGCCCGCCCCTTCTCACTTCCCCCCCCGGGGTCCCCGGGGCTCGCCGCCGATGATGATGGTCGCCCACCCTAGCTGCGCGAGGCCCCACCCCGGCTGGCGGCGCGGACTTCTCCGACGGGGTGCCCGCGCCTTCAGAGCAGCGCGCTGCTGACGCGGCCGGCCCGGACCAACTCTTGCATCCCAGCGGGCCGCGCTGTGGCGCCCCCGGTGGGGTCCGGGGCAAGTGAAGGGGCCCCCAGGACACGCAAATAGAGACACACGATTCAAAGGCTTCCCCCATAGTTTCCTGTATTTCCTGGGCTTTTGTCTCCCCCCCCACTTCCAAGATTTTCCCATGTTTTCGGGGGAATCGACGATTCGTTAGGTCTGTGTGTTTCTTTTCCTCCTGAGCAAGGATCGGAGAGCCGGAGAGCGAGGGCTCCCCCTTGGCCTCGAGGGCCCCCTTCCTTCCCAGCGGCCCCGGCAACACGCAGAGGTCGACCCCCAGAGGCCTCCCCAACGGTGCGCGCTGGCCAGAGTTCCGCGGAGAACGGGGCCCCCGGGCCCGAGCGAAACGGTGCTGTCGTTTGGGTGCTGCTGTCGCGCTCCTTCGTTATCGAAGGGGCCCTGGGACGCACAGATAAGTAGACACAACTAACAGGACTCCCCACATTTTCCCTTGTTTTGTTCTGGGTCTCCACATTTCCCCATATTTCCTGGGGCATCGACGATCCATTGTGTCTGTACGTTTTTGTCCCTCCGGAGTTATGCCTTCGCTCTAACTTTTGCTTCGAGAGGATAGCAAAACGCAAACAGCCCACGAGACCGCCAAAAAACACCGTGGAGCTCGAGCCCTGCCCCAGACCTCTCCAGCGGTGCGCTCTGGCCAGAACTCCGCGGAGAACCCCGCCGTGGTGGCGAGCGAGCCCCCCTCGACTACGCGCAAGAGTGACCCTGGGTAAGAGTGTGACCTTTGGTGCGCGGCTTTTCGGGGACCGTGGTGGGACCGAACACAAGCATGCAAGACGCTACTGTCGAATCGCGTTTGGCGAGCTGGGGAACCCATTGGGCCCGCACCAAAGGTCACTCCGGCGAAAGGTCACTCTTACGTCTAGTCGACCCCCACCCCGGGGCCCAAAACGGCAGAAAAAAAAAGCCCCACAACCCCGAGCATGGAATCTCCACGTCGACCTCCTGCATGCCCAGGGTGCCCGGCCGAACTCGGCAGTGCCAGCATGGAACACTGAGGGAATGGGCCCCTGAGAACGAGTGACCACGGGCATTGAAGATTCAGATCGTGACCCCGACGACGACGACGATGACGACGACGCCGACGACGCCGACGACGACGACGTCGACAACGACGACGACAACGACGACGACGGCGAGGGCAAGGGCGAGGGCGAGGGAGAGGACGAGGACGAGGACGAGGGCGAGGACGAGGACGAGGACCAGGACTAGGACGAGCACGATGACGACGCCGAAAACGACGACGAAAACGCCGACGAGGGCGAGGGCGAGGGCGAGGGCGACGACAACAACGACGAGGGAGGAGCTGAACGTGCGCTCCGCGGAGCTGGCGGAGCCTTGGCGGCGCGCGCAAAGGCCTGGCGCGAGGGGCACGACCTCCTGAGGTGGGGTGCTGCTGAGAAGGCGAAGGCCTTCTGTCGGAGGCGCCCAGAGGCTTCCCGCGAGGCCTGCGACGAAGGCAGCACCAAAACAGCACCGGACCGACAGAGCTGGGGGAACGTCCGCGCGTCGCGGCCGTTTCGGAGCTTCCAGGAACGCTCTGAGAGCACTCTAAGAACGCTCGGGATCGGACTCATCTTGATGATTCCAGGCCGGTCCGAAGAGGCGGCCGGAGGCTTCCAGTAAGCCTCCTCCCGGGCGGCCATACGTGGAGGGCAGCGAGGGCTGCAGGCAAGGGGCCCCCGATAGCCCCTAGAAGGGAGCCCCTTCGGGCCCCAGAGGAGGCCTTCGGGGCCCCCCCCGAATGGCACCTTCTCCCCCCCACCGCCTATTTCTGATAGCTCCCCCCCTTAGGCGGCGCCGAGTGGGGAAGGCCCATGGCGGCCAGATCCCAGTCCATGGGCACCCTCAGGGCCGCCAAAGCACGATCCAGGACGAAACGGCTGGTCTGGGGAAACGCCGCCCGGGGGCCAGGATCCGTTTCTACTTGTCGATCCGACGGCGCCCCTTTCATCGCCCATCATCAATGCGTGCCCAATTCTCAGAAGCCTTTTCAGCGCTTCCAGCAGGGCTTCCGACACGGCTCCGACGGCGCTTCTGAGAGAAGCCTGGCCCTCAACGACCCCCCCCCCCCCTTGCCTTCTTACAGAAGGGCCGCACCCTGGCGCCAACCCTTTTTGCCCCGAGGTCCGATGTTGCGCAAACCTTGTGGCATTGCGCGTGAGTTAATGCGGCGGCGATAAAGGGGGGGGGCTGAGAAAGGTGCCCCTCTCATGCCTCAAAGTCAAGTCGGGCGTGTCCCCCTAGAGGGGGATTGTGGACAAAAGATAAAACGTACCAAACACATGCGCCACAAATCTTCAGAAATGGTGCAACAAATCGCCCCTGGACTCTCTTCGACTGTTTTTGAGTACTCCTCCTGTGGAGTGACGTGCCCAACTCAACCCTGAAGGCCTCCCTTGTCGGGTCGGGCGAAAGGGGGGGATAGCAAAGGGGGGGTTGAGAATCAGCTCACGTAGCTGATTTTTCCGGCGCCTCCCGGCGCCGGAGGCGGCTATGTATCGAGGAATGGGCCCCTCGGTGAGGCCGAAACCAGCTGCATGCAGCAGATTTCCCAATCCCCCCCGTTCGTCCGGCCCGATTGTCGCCCCCCTCGCTACGCGCCCCCTGGCAGCACCGCGAAAGATCTCACCCGGAGTCACGTCGGGGCTGTCCCTCTACAGGAGGAACATTCAAAGATAGTCACAAGAATAATCCGGGGGCGATGTTTTGACTCGTTCTGAAGACTGTTGGAGCTTGTGTTGGGGTACTTTTGGAGTTTCGTCCAAAATCCGCCTGTGGTTAACGGGCGAAGAACGGTATAACATAAACTTTTTCGCTGTGTGGAGCGCATGTCCCAGAGCGGCTGGGAAGTTTATACCCTTACGGTGGCACGTCGAAGTATAAACTTTCCAGGCCCCCTGGGGCAGCGCCCCCGGCGACGGAACAGTTTATTTTACATCCCTTTTCGCCCGCTTATACTGTAGGGGGACATGTCCGACCTAACCCCGGAACCCGACCCAAACCTGGAGCCCTCGACCCCATCTTTCCGCAACACGTTCCGCGCCGGACCGTTATCTTGCCGTCGCTCGGACGTCCATTTCCCGTGCACGTTTCGGTTTCGTGCGTGTTTTTTTTCGCTCGATGATCCAGGATGCTCCTCAAGGGTCCTCGCCGAGAAAAAATACACATGCCCAAGCGATGCCAGGACATGTGAGCGACGATCAAGAGCGGGCCTCGCGCAAGTCGGCACATCGCCCTTGCGCGGCGGCTTACGCGGGCCGCCAGCGCGGAACGCCCACGCTGGAAGCGAGGGCGCTCACGCGCGAGCTCGCGCGGGGAGCTTGCGCGCCAACGTCGGCGCAGACGACCCCGTCTTTCTGCGTCGCTCCTGCGTGGTGGCTCTGGAGGTCGGAAAGGGGTGTGGCCTATATGGGGTGCGGTGCCAGTCGTGGACATGGCGATGCTATCTACGATGGATAACCTCGCCAGATCCAGCATGGACTCCACATCCCTTTACGCCACACCCCTTTCCGACCTCCAGTTGAGCAGGGACCGAACGTCCCAGCATTCCGATAGGCCCACCACGAAATGCTCTTAGAACTCACAACTGTTCTCAGAACAAAGACAATGTTCTTAGAACATAAACCCAAAGTGTTAAGGTAAGACCGTTCCCCGGCCAGCACTGCTCTAAGAGCATGCCGTGGAAACTGCAAAAAGATTCTCGGAACATTCTTTGGCAGGCCTCTTGGCACGCCAGGACGCTTCGCCACTGCCTGCTTCCGCGTGGCCCCGGGGCCCGAGGCTGCGGCTGGGCGGAGCCACCCGGCGCGAGGAGGTCCCGGCGGCCAGCTGCCCCATGGGGCGTCGTGCGCGCCGCCGACCGCACGTGTCCCTCTGCACCGCCGGCGAGTGCGCCCCCAGGGGCGCTCCCGCAGAAGGAGGGAGCACGGCACCAGCACGCCCTCGTCGACGGTCGGCGCGGATGCTTGGATCTGCGCTGCGCTGCGACGACGACGACGACGACGACGACGACGACGACGACGACGACGACGACGACGACGACGACGGCGGCGGCGGCGGCGGCGGCGGCGGCGGCGGCGGCGGCGGCGCAGGCTCGCCGACCACCACCCTCGACGCAAGGGGATGCGAAGCCCCTGAACACGGGACGGGGTGGGCACGAGTGGTCATCATAGCCGGCTCAAGATCACAAGAGGCATCCAGGCCTCATCGTTCATCTTATCACTGGCTTCACTCCGTGCGTAGCATGCTCTCCCCCTCCCTGGCGCGCTCCAGCGCAAATTCGAGAAATCCGCGAGGACCGCCGACAACTTAAGTTTATCATGCCGTTTTTTTGTCCTTCGATGCCAACCCGCTCCCGCGGCCGGGGGCGGTGCGGCCCCGAGCCGTCCTTTCGGCGGGGGACAAGCCTCCCTTTCGTGAGCCTCCTTTCGTGAAAACGGCCCAAGACCGAAACCGACGGACCTGGACCCGCAAAAGCGACGGCCGCGCCGCCCTCTCGCGAACAGGAAACGGCCAATTCGTAAATCGAGGTGTCAGGGTAGGAGGTCTATCAACCTCCGATCCCTCGCGCGCCCGCAGCTCCTCGATCTCCGACATGAGTATGTTCTCGCTCCGGAACTCAACCTGGGGCGCGAAGGGGGGGCCAGTTGGGAAGCCACGAGGGAGGAGGGAGGAGGGGGAGGGACAAGAAGGGTGAGGGGTGAGACTCGATCGCTCTCCCTCGTTCAGTTCAATGTCTACCCGATCGTCCTCTCTGAGAACCTTTGGGGGGCGGGGGATTGGGACGCACAGAGACATACTAGTACTATATGTCCGCCTTGGCGGCACGCGTCCGACCCGAACATCTAGTATACCCATCTTGTAGTATATCGCTTCCCAAGCGGTGTGGCCAGAAAACACCCACAACGACGCATATACTTTAAGATTTCTCGGTGCGCGCGTCGTCCTGGGGGGGGGGGGGGCGACGCACATATAGTATAAGTATGTTGGGGTGACGCCGAGGGGATGCAACCCATAGATAGATAAACGTGTGTATGTCTATAGATGTATATATTTATACACGCCCTTTTTGCTTGCAAGCTCGGGAGAGCAACGGGCATGAGCAGCTGTGGAACGTCGCTGCCTGCTCGGGGGCCTGGCCAGTGAACCCAACGGACGGGAGGGATGAGGAGGGAGGAGGAGGAAGAGGCAGGAGCAGGAGAAGGAGTACAAAAGGAGAATGAGCAATCCAGATTTCGTAATAAAAGGGAGGGGGTCACAACCCTCCCAGACGAGAAGTTTTAGACCCCCCAGACTATCCATGAAAGGGCGACCCTTTGCCCAGACCCCCCCGAACCCTCCAAGACAACTCAAATTAGACCCCCCCCGAATGTGACCCCCCCCACTTTGTTATGGAATCCGGAGCAGGGAGAATGAGTCGAGTAAGCCAGGTCGAACGAATCAGCGAGCCCCGCTCGCACGTCGACGACTGGGCGTGCGACAAGATGTGCACCACGCCCGAGTGGGAGCTCAAATCCATAGAAAAATGAGTGCGGCACCGATGTAAGAGCGACATCTCGCCCTTTGTCCCATTCTTGCTACGCAGTTGGCGACGTGGACGACATAACAACGACCTCGTACATTGTTTCTGGACTGTAGGATGAAATGCCCCCAGGTGGGGATGCTATGCGCTGGCTGCGTGCCGTGGTAGGAGTGTATACACAGAAAGAGCAAGGATAGGGATTATGAGGAGGAGGAGGAGGCGGAGGAGGGGCGGGTGGTTGAAGGACGAAGGCTTCGGGGCCACAGAGCGACACAGCCTACAGCAGCAGCAGCAGAGCAGCAGCAGCAGCAGCAGGGTTGGTGAAGGCAGAGATTTGGCGTCTTGCCCTCGGCGCGGCCACGACATGCCCTCGCCGTCTTCAGGTCGACCTCCCAAGAGCAACTTCCAAGCATCTGCCTGTCAGGATTCTCATATATTTCGCCCACCCTCCCCCCCCCAAAGGCTGCCCAGAGTAAAGCCTTGTCAACAGTCCACTCCGAAACCGTGAAGGGGGCTCCTCCTCCTCCTCTCCCTCCTGCTCCTGCTCCTGCTCCTGCTCCTGCTCCTGCTCCTGCTCCTGCTCCTGCTCCTGCTCCTGCTCCTGCTCCTCCTGCTCCTCCTCCTCCTGCTCCTCCTCCTCCTCCTCCTCCTCCTCCTCCCCCATCGACTCTCATATCCTCATGCTCGCCCGCCATGGGGACACCAACGTGTAGCAACAGTGGTACAGCATGGTCCGTTGGAATGAGCGACGCGCAGCATCTAGCAACAGGGGTACAGCATGGGCCGGCAAAATGAGCGACGCGATTAAATGATGCCTTGCAATCGCCTGGGCCAGTGACGAGAGGCGACCGTCTGCCAGACGCGGAGCTCCCTGTGGCACGGAGTCGCCACCACCAGCCGCCCCTGCGCCGGGCTCGGCCTCACAGCGGTGGAGTGCCAGGGGGGGCAGGCGAGGCGAGCCACGCAAGCGCCTGTGCACCCCCTCTGGCACATCAGCGCTGCAGTCGCATCCTGGAGCCCAAGATCGGACCCACACGCCTGCGGCTGCAAGCTCTGGCCATCGCTCGGACGTCCATTCCCTGCGTTTGTTTCGAATTCGTGCGTGGTGTTTTTCGCCAAATGAGCAAGGATGCTCCTCGATGGTCCTCGCCGAAGGAAAAATTCACACGTCCGAGGGATGCCAGGAGCTCGTGTGCCCTCCTGGGCAGACAAGACGGATCGATAGCCCGAGGAGGCCGCGTGCCAAAGTCAAAACGCGCGCTTGCCCACGGGAGCCCGCCGCGATGTGGAGCCCGGCGCACCAAGGGCAGCCACGGGCCCCGGGCGCAGCTGGCGGAGGTCAACTTCGCAAACCTCCACTGGTGAAGGGGCCCCAGGACACACAAACAAATACACACAAAAACAAAAAGATTCCCCACATTTTCCCATATTCTCTGGGTTTCTGTTCCCCCCCCCTACTTCCCATATTTTCCCATATTTTCCGGGGAATCGACGATTCATTGTGTCTGTGTGTTGTTTCCCCTCCTGACTTGGGCTCGCGGCCAGAAGCTCGTGCCTGGCGTGGCGGGGCGGCGGCCCCCCGCGGAACGCTGTGCCCCGCAGGCCGACGGCGGCTCGCTCTGCGTCGTGAGCTCGGAGCGCTGCTGTCCGGGGACTGGGGCGTGCTCAGCGCGTCGCGCCGAAGCGCGGTGGGCCACAACCTGACTACCTACCAGACCACCCCAACCCAACCCGAAGACCCGAATTTCGGGTTCGGGGGGGTAAGGGTTCCACGCGTGTTTTTTCGATGTTTCCCGACCCCCCCCACTGGAAATCGAGGGTAAATCTGAGCCTTCGGGTTGGGTTGGGGTGGTTTGGTGGGTGGTGACAACCGAGGGCGCTCCACAAGCATGTCTCATCGGACTCGAGAGCCAACCAGTCGGCTCGGCGACTCACGCGGAGGCGGACACGGATGAAGGCAAGTGCTCGCCACGACGACGCGGGCCGGGGTTCCCGCCACCGTGTGACCGCTCAACCGCGATCTCTGTGTCAAGGCCCCAATTCAGTCCTGACCGCAGCCGACGGCTCCACAGACCCGGCGAGCGCAGCACGCGCACCTTGCCACCGTCGCAACGCACAGCGCCGCCGTCGCCGCCGAAGCCGCGGCCAAGCCGCCGACGCCCCGCTCGCAGCCCCTCCGCCGACGCGGACCCCCGCGAGGCGACGCCGCGCCGTTGCGTCGCCGATGCCGCACACCGCAGGCGAGGCCGCGCCGCCGCCGCGCCGCCGCGCCGCCGACGCGGCCGCGCCGCCTGGCGCGCGCCGCGCCGCTGGCGTCGCCGGCCGCCGCGAGCGCCTGGCGCGGAACCCCCGCGAGGCGCTGCCGCCTCTGCGCGGCCGGCCGCTGCCGGTCGGCGCGCCGCCGCCGGCGGCGCGCGCTGTGGGACGGCGCGGCTCCTGCACGGGCGGCCTGGCGTCTGTGCTCGCTCCGCGGATCCTCCCTCCTCCTCCTCGGCGTTTCCTCGGCCCTCCTCGTCCTCCTTCTCCTCCTCACTCCGCCCTCCCTCCTGCTCCTCCTCGCTCATGGCCCACCGTGCTCCTCCTCCGCCTACATCCTCCTCCTCATGGCCCTCCCTCCTCCTCCTCCTCCTCCTCCTCCTCCTTCTCCTCCTCCTCCTCGGCACTCCTCCCAATCTTGACCCCTTGTCCTGCAAAACCTCGTCTTCCTATCCTCACCCTCATCCATCCACTCATTCTTCTTCTTCTTCTTCATCAGCATCAGCAGCAGCATCATCATCATCAGCAGCAGCAGCACCAGCAGCAGCAACATCATCATCATCATCATCATCATCATCATCATCATCATCATCATCATCATCATCATCATCATCATCATCATCATCATCATCATCATCATCATCATCATCATCATCATCATCGTCATCATCATCATCATCAACAACATCATCATAATCATCAACATATTCAACAGTATCATCATATTCCGCAGCAGCAGCATCAGCGTGACCATCAGCATCAGCAACATAACCAGAACCATCAGCAGCAGCATCAACAGCATCATCCTTATCATCAGCAGCATCACAACCACCACCACTAGCATCATTACCATCATCACCACCATCATAATCATAATCACCAGCATCATCATCATCATCACCACCTTCAGCATCATCCTTATCATCAGCAGCAGCATCACAACCACCACCACTAGCATCATTACCATCATCACCACCATCATAATCATCATCATCATCATCAGCATCATCATCATCACCACCTTCATCAGCAGCAGCAGCATCCTCATCACCCCAAGCTTCCTCCTTCCCCGCCTTCTCCCCAAGACAGGAAGATTATAAGAAGCATGGGCACGAGGACGAAGAGCCATCCTCCTCCCTCTTCGTTCACGTGCCATCGCCCTCGTCCCCGTCCTCGTCGTTTTCGTCATCGTCTTCCTTGTCGTCCTCGTCCTCGTCGTCCTCGTCGTCGCCCTCGTCGTCTTCGTTGCCGCCCTTCTCATCCTCCTCCTCCTCACTCGGTCCCTCGAGGCCTCTCGAGGCCCCTGGAGGTAGTCCAGAAGTAGGATGCATCAAGACGGGACAGAAGCGTCCACAACCCTCCCGATCCTCGCCGCTGGCGTCGCTGCCGGCGGCGTCGCCGTCGCTAGAAGAAGACAACACATACACAAAGTCAGACAGTCGGAGGCCCTGGCAAATTGTCTGGGACCGGCGCTGGACCTCCTCCCTCGCGCGCGGAGCGCGCCAGCGGCGGCGCCAGAGCCGCCACCCGGGTGGGTGGGTGGGTGGGGTGCCAACGCCGATCCAAAGAATCCGTCGCGGATCTCCGACAGTTTCTGCATGTGCCGACTCTTCTTCTCTGTCTTATCTTCTTGGTTTCGAACTTGTTATTCGCAGTATTATAATCCGTATATATATATATATATAGAGAGATATGTGTATACATATATATATATATATATGTTGCTGCTGTTGTTCTTCTTAATACTATTACTACTACTTCTTCGAGCCACCAACGCAGCCGCCATCGGCGCGGCGTTGCCGCCGCCGCAGTCGGCGGCGGGTCGTCGCTGCCGCCGTCCGCGACGGCGTCGTCGTCGGCCCCGCTCAACCTCGTCGACGTCCTCGTCGACGATCTCGTCATTCTCGTGCCATCCTTCTCGTCGTCGCCAACCTCGTCGTCGTCGTCGTCGTCGCCGACGTCGTGGTGGTCGCTGTCGCCGTCATCGTCGCCGTCGTGTCGTCGTCGTCGCCGTCGTCGCTATCGTCGCCGTCGGCCCCACGGCGCGGCGGCGGGGGCGCGGCACGTTGTAGGGGAACGGCGCCGGCCCGCCCTCCGCGACCGCGGGCGGGCCGTCGGCACAGGGGGCCCCGGGGCCCTCCTGGGCGCGGGCGGCGCGGGGGTCACCGTCCGCGACGTCGGCTCCTCCTCCTCGACCCTCCTCGTCGACCCTCCTCCTCGTCCTCCGCCTCCTCCTCCTCCTCGACCCTCCTCCTCCTCCTCCTCCTCCTCCTCCTCCTCCTCCTCCACCTCTTCCTCGATCATAATCCTTGATGCTCCTTGCTCATCCCCGATCCTCCTCCTCCTCCTCCTCCTCCTCCTCCTCCTCCCTCTAGACCCTGCTCTTGCTCCTCCTCCTTGATCATACGCCTTGATCCTCCTCGATCCTCCTCCTCGACCATCCTCCTCCTCCTCCTCGACCCTCCTCCTCCTCCTCCTCCTCCTCCTTCCTCTTCTCCTCCTAGATCCTCGATCCTCCTCGATCCTCGATGCTCCTCCTTCTTCTCCGGCGCCGCCTGGGCGCCGGCGGCGCGGGGCGTAGTCCTCGACGGTCAAACGGGACCAGATGGAGACGTACAAATCGGCACACCTACACAGATATCATCTATATATATATATATATGCTTCAATGCTTTCTGGGTTTTCTCTCCCCTCCCCCACCATTTCCCGATATTGTCCCACATGCATCACGAAGATCAATGTTATTTGTGCGTTTGCGGACTTGTCCCTCCTGAACGTCGGCGGCGCCGCTCGACGAAGACATGGACACGCGGCAGAGTACCTCGAGCTGCTCTACGGCCCGAGCGCTCTTGAAGGGCAGGCCGAGAGGCCTCAGCTTCAGCCTCCTGGAGGCGATCGTCGAGGTGGGCATGAAGAGTCTCGACAAGGACGCTCTTCGGGCCGGGCGAAAGGGGGGGATAACAACGGGGGGGGGTGAGAATTAGCTCACGTAGTTGACTTTCCCGGCGCATCCCGGCGCCGGAGGCGGCTATGCATCGAGGAATGGGCCCCTAGGTGAGGCCGAAACCAGCTACCTCTTGGGAGCATCTGGGGGCCCTGGGGACGTCTTGGGGCCCTCTTGGGCAATTTGAGGGCCCTCTTGGGCTATCTGGGGGTCCTCTTGGACCGCTTTCGACCTCCTTGAGACGCCTCTAGGGCCGTCTTGGGACGATCTTTGGGCCTTCTTGGGCCGCCTCGGGCCTGGAGAGGCGAGGACCAAACAAGAAACCTTCAAAATCTACAAATGTCGTACCCGCCCTTTCCTAAACCCCACCTTTCTGAAGGGGCCCTGGGACACACAAATAAATGCACACAAATAAAACAAATTATCATATTTTCCCATATTTGCTGGGTCTATGTCTTCCCCCCCACTGCCCATATTGTCCCATATGTTCTGGGGAATCGACGATTAATTGTGTCTGTGTGTTTCTTTCCCTCCTGACTTTCGTCCAGCCCGAGATCTCACCTCCGAGGGGGTCCTGGAGAAGTCCGAGGCCGCGGGAAAGGTTGCCACAACTGCACGCGTAGGCTTACGTATGTCGGGCGCGTCCCCCTACAGGGGGATTTTCGACGAAAAATAAAACATACCCCCAAAATGCCCCAAAAAGGCCAAAACATACCCCAAAATTGGTCCCCAGACTTTTTGTTGGACTATTGTTTCATTTTTGGCGTATTTTTAAATTTTCGTCCAAAATCCCCCTGTAGGGGGACAGGCCCGACTTACGCGTAGGCGGCCCCGATGTGGGGGACCACCGTGGCCCGCCGATGTCGGGGGCCAGGGCTCCTCAGGTAGGTTCGCGCGGCGTCGGCGCGCGCCAAGGTTTCTGACACCGCATTGATCGCTCAACTCGGGCCGGGCGAAAGGGGGGGATAGCAAAGGGGGGGGTTGAGAATCAGCTCACGTAGCTGATTTTCCCGGCGCCTCCCGGTGCCGGGAGGCGCCCATGTATCGAGGAATGGGCCCGGCGGCGGGGCCGAAACCAGCTGCATGCAGCAGATTTCGTACCCCCCCTTTCCCTATCCCCCCCTTTCGTTCGGTCCGATCAACCTGGAATCAATCGCGGCCCCGACGCTTCAGGGTTGAATTCCGTCGGGTCCCATGGCGCTACCGTGGCCCCCAGTGCTTCCGCGTCGATCTCTCATGCGGAATTCAACCTTGAACGCCTTCGCCGGCGTCGCTGGCGCGCCATCGCCGCATGAACCCGTACAGGCAAGCTGCCCAGTCGGCAGAAGCATACCCGTCAGTCGGCAGAAGTGGACAGAAACATGAAGTAGGAAGGCGTTGGAAGTAGGCTGGGTGTCCGCCCGCCCCCCTGAAGGGGAGGCAAGAAGGAGACGGCCGCTCGACCCTTGAGGTGGGAAGGGGGCGAAGAGCAGATGGGGACCTGGCAGCCCAGCAGCACCTACTTCCAAGGACTCACGAGCAAGCACAAGCACTAAGGGCCTCTTAGATGGAGTCCGAGTAGATGGGGTCGGAGGATCGCGCCGCATCGGCGATGCATCGGCGGTACATCGGCGATGCCAGCGTGGAGAAAGTCGGGCTCCACATCGAGCCACATCGCCGATGCATCGGCGATGCGGAGCGATCCTCCGACCCCATATACTCCGACCCTATCTAGGAGGCCTCGAAGCACATAAACACTCGGAGGCACGCTGCAGGGGCCCGGGAGGAACGGCCCTGGTCCAAGAGATCCGCCGGGTCGTCCGACAGCGGAGCGACGATCAGCAAGGGGCAAGGGGTCATTCTCCTCCTCCTCCTCCTCCTCCTCCTTGTCCTCCTCCTCCTCTTTCTCCTCCTTCACCTCCTCCTCCTCCTCCTCCTCTTCGTCCTCCTCTTGCCTCTTTCTCCTCCTCCTCCTCCTCCTCCTCCTCCTCCTCCTCCTTCTGTAAGGCGAGATGACACAACGACCGTACGCTGTGGCTTACGCGGGCCGCTGGCGCGGCACGCCACGTTGGAGACGAGGGCACTTACGTGCAATCTTACGCGGGCAGCTTGCTCGCCTATGTCGTCATAGACGGCCCCGTTCTGTTGCGTCGCTCAATTGATGATCACGTGTCTTGTACGCTTCGACGACGGCGGCGTCGTCGTCTTCGGCGCTGACATCATCGGCACCGTTGCTGTCGTCGTCTGCGCGCGCGCCGTCTTCGGCGCCGCCACCGTCTTTGGCATCCTCGACGTGACTCGGCGGCGTCGTTGACGTCGTCTGCGGCGCTTCGACGTCGCCATCGCCGTCGTCGTCGGCAGCGGCATCGGTATCTCTATTATCGTTCTCGACGCCGTCGTCGTCGGCCGAGGAGGGACGAAGAAGAGGGAGGGGTGCAAAGCAGGGAAGGCGGATGGAAGGGGTGGAGGGGTGGAGACGATAGGAGCGGAGAAGAAGCGAGGGTGGAGGGGGAATGAGGCAGGGCAGACAGAGGGGAGGATGGAGGGAAGGAGGATCTAGGAGGGATTGATGATAAGGAGGATGGAGGTCAACGGAGGAAGAGGGAAGGACGATGTAGGGAAGGAGCGTGGAGGAGAACGGAGCAGAGAGGAAGAGGAGGACCGCAGCCTGTTTGGGAATGGTCCTGCACTGTCTATTCATCCCTGGCCGTCATCCCCTCATGCGGGGCAACGATAAAGTGGGGACTGGCATGGGAGGAGACGCATCGACTTGTAATCAGCGACACATCGACAACATATCGGCGATTGGCCCCCGATGGTGAATCCGCACGGTCCTGGGCAGGATGGGGCTGTTGAGCCCCTTTCGGCAATCAATTGGCGATTGGGGGGCGATGTGTCCCCCTTTCTGCCCATCCCCCCCCTATCGTTGCCCCTGATCTTGTCTTCTCCTCGTCTTCTCATCATGTTTCCTCCTCCTCCTCCTCCTCCTCCTCCTGGTCCTCCTCGTCCTCCTCCTCCTCCTCCTTCCCCTCCATCCTTCCTCGAGAAAGAGGATGAAGGGGGAGAAAGGAGACGGACATAGAGAGCTTCGGGGGAGGGAAAGAAAGGACGTGCAGGTCCGGAATTCTGAGGTCTGAGCCCTGAGATGGTCCGAGAGCCCTGGCATATCCGCCACCGTGCCCCTGGTACGAAATGGAGTGTCCCAAGGCTCAACCAATCGTTCGCCAGGCAGGCCCAAGGTCTGCCTGTCGGGCCTTGGCAGAACTAAGTTTAGCGGGACCTGGTTTAAAGATGTGTACTGGGCGACGCCCCCCCCCCGCCCCGTTCCACTGGCCAACCGGGCCACTCGAAAAAACAGCAGCAGGAATCGCTCGCGTCGGCCTGCAGTCGCGGCCTTGACCTAAGGAACCCAAAATAAGGAACGAGGCCTTTTTTTTTCCATAAGTTAAACTTCGATTCCCGATCGAAAACATAAGGAAAACCTGAGGCAAACTGTGAAACACTTAAGGAACGCGGAACCCTTCCCAACGAAAAGGGTTCCTTCTTCAGGACCCCGACTGTACCCCGCTCATGAGGATGGCTCGAAGAAGCCCCAACAAATTTCAAAGAGAGCCCCAGGTCGCCCCAAGGTCGCTCCAAGACGCCCAGGATGGTCTAAATACGGCCCAAGAGGCCTCCAAGACGCCACAAGAGGCCTCACATCGTTGATTTTCGGTGGGTGCCTGAAGAATTTTGGCGATCTCGCCTGTTCGCCTTTCTGACGCTCCAAGGCGGCCCAAGAAGCCTCCAAGACCATCCCAAGACGGCCGAAGAGGCCTCCAAGAGGCCCCCAAGGCGGCCTAAGAGCGTCCCAAGATGGCCCAAGAGGCGCCCAAGATGCCCAACTGACCCCGAGACGGCCCCAAAAGGGGCCCACGAGAGGGAACACCAACCGGAAATCCGAGCCGTCCGTCCCAAGAGGCCTCCAGGAGGCACTAAGAGGTGCCCCAGAGGCCCCAAGAGGTCCGCACGAGGCCCCCGAAGAAGCCCCAAGAGGGCCCCAAGAGGCTCAAAAGGGGCCCCAAGAGGCCCCAAAACGGCCCCCGATAGGCCTCAAACTGCCTCCAAGAGGCCCCCCACGAGATCCCAACAAGCATCCAATAGGGTGTACACCCACAACCCAGGCACGATGGCGGGATGGACCGAAGGCCATCAGATCTGCCGCCCCCTTTTGATTCATCAAAGGGGTGCCTGGCGTGTTAGACCCTCTCGGTTTTGGTTTTGGTTCTTTTTCAAAAGAACTCCCCCTGGGGCTCCGGCGCGTCCCGCCGGCCACCCGGAAAGGATCTCAATGAGCTCAATCCAAAAATCATCTAAGAAGGTTCAAGATGGCCTCCAAAATGGCCACGTTGGCCCAAGATGACCTCCAAGTCCGCCCAAGATGGTCCAAAACTGCCTCCAAGACGGCCCAAGAGAGTCCAAGATATCTCCAAGGTCACCCAAGAGGCCTCCAAGACGGCCCAAGACCACCCAAGAGGCCTCCAAGAGGTCCTCCAGGAGGGCCCGAAGAGGCCCAAAGCATTGATTTTCCGTAGGTTTTTGAAGGAAATTGGCATTCGCTTCTTCTCGGCTTTCCGACGACCCAAGACGACCCAAGAGGCCCCCAAGATCGCCCCCACAGCGGCGAAGAGGCCTCCAAGATGGCCTCAGGACTGCCCAAGAGGCCCCCAAGACGGCCCCAAGAGGGCACAAAGACGACCCCAGAGGCCTCCAAGACGCCCAAGATGGCCTCCAAGACGGCCCTGGAGCACCCCAAGAGGGCCCCAAGTCGGCCCAGAAAGGCCCCCCAAACAGCTTCCAACGGCGTCAGACGGGCCAGGGGCCCACCAAGATGGCCGAAGTTGACTCGAAGCTGGCCCAAAACGGCCCCAGAGGCCTCCAAGAGGGCCTCCAGGAAGGTTAATTTTCCATGGGACTCCGAAGGATTCTGACATTTGCTTCGTTTCGGCCTTCCGACGGCCCGATACGGCCCAAGAGCCCCAAAAGATCGCCCAAGAGGCCTCCAAGCTGGCCGCAGAACGGCCCAAGAGGCCCCCAAGACAGCCCCGAGAGGCCTTCAAAACGCCCAAGATGGCCTCCAAGACGGCCCTGGAGCATTCCAAGAGGGCCTCGAGTCGGCTCAGCCTCCCAAACGGCTTCCGACGGCGTCGGACGGGCCAGGAGCCCACCAAGACGGCCGAAGATGGCACTAAGATGGCCCAAGACGGCCCAAGAGGCCTCCAAGAGGGCCTCCAGGAAAGCCCGAAAATGCCAAAATCATTGATTTCCCATTGGGTTTTTGAAGGATCGTGGCATTTACTTCTTTGGGGTCTTCCGACGGCCCGAGACGGCCCAAGTGCCCCAAAAGATCGCCCAAAAGGCCCAAGACGGCCCCAAGAGGCCCCCAAGACGGCCCAAGAGGCCTCCAAGACGCCAAGACGGCCCAGGAGCCCTCCAAGACGTTCCCCAAGAAAGCCCGAAAGGGTCAAAATGGCCTCCAGGCGGCCAAGATGACCTTCAAGATGCCCACGTGTTCCCCGAAGGCTTTCCAAACCGATTCTGGGAACACATGGTCCGATAGCTTGGCAGGTCTGGCCTCAACGTTCGGCCACATAGGCGCTTCCAAGAAGGCAGGGGGCGGCGGTGATTCGCCGTAGGCGTCTTCGATCCGCCGCCCCCTGTCGATTCATCGAAGGGGTGCCTGGCGTGCCGGATGATATGGGTTTGGCATTTTTTCCCCCAAAAGAACTCCCCTTGGGGCTTCGGCCCGTCCCGCCGGGGTCCCGGGAGATTGCCGAAAACCCGGTTGCAAAGGTTTTTCCTGCTCCAGACGGCTCCAAGACGGCCCAAGATAGTCTCCTAAATGCATCCAAGACTGGCCTCCAAGACGGCCCTGGAGCATTCCAAGAGGGCCCCAAATCGGCCCAGAAAGGCCCCCCAAACGGCTTCCGACGGCGTCGGACGGGCCAGGACCCCCCAAAACAGCCGAAGATGGCCCATCGCCCAAGACGGCCCAAGGGGCCTCCAAGAGGGCCTCCAGGAAGGCCCGCAAAGGCAGACATTATGGATTTCCAATGAATTTTCTGAGGATTGTGGCCTTCCGTCGGCCCGAGACAGCCCAAGTGCCCCCAGAAATTGCCCAAGAGGCCCAAGACGGCCCCAAGAGGCCCCCAAGACGGCCCAAGAGGCCTCCAAGACGCTCAAGATGGCCTCCAAGACGGCCCAAGAGCCCTCCAAGACGTCCTCCAAGATGGCCCGAAAGAGTCAAAATGGCCTCCAGACGGCCAAGATGACCTTCAAGATGCCCACGTGTTCCTCGAAGGCTTTCCAAACCGATTCTGGGAACACATGGTCCGATAGCTTGGCAGGTCTGGCCTCAACGTTCGGCCACATAGGCGCTTCCAAGAAGGCAAGGGGCGGCGGTGATTCGCCGTAGGCGTCTTCGATCCCCCCAAAACCTTCGAAATGCTCGCGATAACCTAAATAGGCCACCAAGGCAACCGCTAGGGCCCCCGAAATGCCTCCTGACGCTTCAAAGACGTCCCCAAGATGGTGTAAGGTGGCCCCCAAGACCGACAAGGCAGCCACATCAGCCTCCAACATGGTTTGAGAGGGCCCTGGGCCGCAGAGGAAGCAATGAATTGTAAATGCTGTGAACGAGCTACTGCATCTTACCCCAAGATGCCCCAACACAGCCCCACTGGAATGACAACGACGGACGGGAATTCGCTACCCCATGTTTTGCCAATCGTCTTGACAATGGCTGGGAAAACGCACAGCCCAGCGCCCTGGATCAATCGGCCCCACTTCTGGTAAAGTTGGCGTGACTCGCGGTGAATCGCGGGAAGCGCCCTCAATCGACGAGAGAATACATCACCCAGCTCAATAACTGATGAACAATGATTCCATCGCACTGGCCGGCCAAATGCTGCACCTGCAAATCGCTGACCCCTCCTCCATAATTCGGCCTTCAGACAACGTGCATAGCAGACGGACGCAGCACTTTCAATGCGGCGTCTCTCGATCGCTCGCCCTACTTGACTTTTCATGTACATGCCAACGACACAGAAAGCATGTGCACACGGAAAACCAAATCGCCGACCCTTCGGCGTGTGGAAGACGTCGTCGTCGTCGTCATCGTCGTCAATCCCACGAACATTCAGGAACGTCGTGATAAGTCAAAGAGAAGCCCTTTCCCTTTGATCCCTTCCCTGCCGCGGGGGGGAGGGGGAGGGGTCCAAGATCAGAATGCCGCCTCCTCGGGGTCCCGAGGGGGGTCCTTCCCTGGGTGGGGTCGCCAGCGGGGGTCTGGGGGAAAATCCCGCCTTCAGGGTCGGCGACACAGGCCGTCAGGTCTTCGCAATGATGTTTCTCTGAAGTCGCGGGCAAGCATCGGCATCCTACTGCAATGCAGTGTCGCCATGGTCTCGTCACACGACAAATGGTGGACTCCTCACATCGAACTCACTGCGCATCGGACTCTGGACCCTATCGAGAGAAGGCACCACCGCTTGCGTTTCTTGACCACGCGCAGTTTCGATGATTGGCACACATGCCACGCTCAAGACTGTCGAATGAAAACGGCAACCTCGCTCGCTGAACACAGCGTCAAAATATACATACATTCACTGTCGCTGTAATGGTATTCTTCCTCACGCGCGGGAAGGCAAAGGTTGCTACATACTCGCCCGAGTCAGAGTGGCTATAACAGCTCATCGGACTTCTCGTCGGGGCCACTAGATCCGAAACGCTGTGGAGACAAGGAAAGCGGGAAGCGGGGAGCATGCAGTAGAAGCTCGACCACGATAAACCTTCCACAAGAAACCCAACCCTGAGAGCCCAGGACGTCAATTGATCTTCGGTGTGGGAACGTCACGCTTTACATCACAAAACCATCGAAATCCCAGACACCCAGGGCTGCCAGGGCACCCCGGAGGCAAGAAGGGTGTTTCTTGGCATGGGTTT